CAGCCTCTTGGCCGCCCCTGATGAAAAAAGCTTCTTCGGGTGAGGATGCCTCACTTAAATCCCGATGAGCCCGGACGTGTTGGACATGCAAGGTTCGCTGTGCACGAGTGCTGTCGTGGAAAACTGCATCTAGGTGCTCCCAAATGTCACAATTAGGCATGAGTCCATAAGGCACGGTACGCAGTTCTCCATTGGCGCGCAAACGTAAGGCAGTCCTTGGAAAGGACGACGCTATAACCCGTGCAAAGCACCTCTAACCCAGCCAGAAGCTCACAAGCTCAGCCCGAGGTACACTTTGCCTGCCAGAACCCCACAGGCCGTTTGAAAAAGCACCATCTCATCATGAGCATCGTAACAGAAAGCAGCACACCTTGCCCTGCGGAAACGCCTCTCTTTGGGGACATGTGCCGACCCATCAGCAAAAACCCGACATGAGGACATACTGGGATGAACGCTTGGCCGAACAACAGGCAGCGCATCAGCGCGCCCGGAGCGAGCGCTCCTGGAAACGCTGCACGAATAGCGCTGGGTGATGAGAGCAAGCGTAAAAGCTCCACTGACTCAGCATGTTCGCTGCGCACATGATCCCAGAGAGGGCATTCAAGCCATTTATGCTCGAGCCCGTGGGCCGCATTCACAGCGTCGCGCCCCATCGGTGTCTTGCTTCTCCCTACGCCCCTGTTGCCTCAGCCGCCAACGACAAGAGCCGAATCAAGCATACCTTGCTTGTTTGGCGGCATTGTGCGCTTAAATGCAAGGGTGGCATCAGCATCTGTATGTGTCTCTGGTTCCGCAAGCATCGCCGCATAGGCGCGTTGGGCTGCACTGCACCATGTTGATAAACAACCCCAAAGTCCTCAACAAGAATCCCCTCAAGACGCAGGATGCAAGCCCTACAAAACCAAAAAGACCCAACCCTATGATCGACTTTCCAGCCGTCTTCGAGACAGACCTCCCAGCCTAGTTCGGCAGGAACCTCCCGAAAAAAATTGGCAGGACCACTGCCCTAGGAAAAATCCACCCTGGATCGCAGAAGGCCTTCAATCTCAGGCTTCCTATCAGGGAACCAAGAACGAGCCTGTCTCATGGCCAGAATGCGTTGCCAACACAATTGGAACTTGGGGTCCGTGCCCGGCTGAGTGACTACATTCAGGACACGTGCGCAACACGCGAACTCCCTCTGAGCCCCAACTATGGCCCGCGACGCAGCACTCCTCCATGACCCTAGAGACACAAGCCCACCCCGTAAGCCCAAGGGAATGACGCTTACAGGATCTCCCTCAGGGACGCCGGTGAGGTAGTGAAAGGGCTGCGCAATAATCAGTGGATCCGAAGGGAACGCTGCATCGTGCCAAGCGCGGACTGTCATGCCTTGATAATGCCCTCGGGAAAACGGAGCCTGGACATAACCTAAAATCGGGGCAGACACGGAAGTGCGTTGAAAGCCTTGACAATGTCAAGCATTAAACCATGAAGGGGCTCCCCTGAAACGCACGCGTGCTCGACCTTCCATGTGATGTCCAACCAAATCCTTTTGCTCGGCCGACCCTTATAACAAGCCTGAAGCGCAGCTGGCAGCTCATGTGCGAGCGTCCGCAGGATCTTACATACTCATGCTGAAGGCCATGCCCTATAGTCTATATAGTCCCCAATAGAAAAGATTGGCCGTTGCTGTGACGGAAGATTTTTCTCAAGCGCGTCACTTTAGGGATTAAAACCGTAAAGGAAACCAATTGACAGGCCGGCCACTCACCGGATGCCTCACACTGTCGGAGCAACTCGGTGAGTTCCCGAACAGCTGCAGGCCGTTGAGCTCATTGGTAGACCAACCCTCAAGACCTTGTCTGTCAGCCTTCATGCCTGAACATCCGACCTCCTCAAGCGAATGTACTGCAAGGGACTTCGAGGAAGCAAGGAGCCCTGTCCAGTCCATGGCTGAGACATCGCGCTGCCACAATTGGAACCAAACCCGCTTAGTGGCTTCATCAATGGCGTCGGGATCGGGATGGATCGGGATTTGCCTCACCCCCTTACCCAAAAATGCAAGTTCAGGCGCTCTAGCCTGGTGCAACCAAGCCAAGGCCTCCTGACTCAGGAAACCATACCATTAGGCCCCCTAAGCTGCGGGCTCTGAAGAACGGATGCAAGCATGGGCAAACTGGAGCATGAGCTTGACGTTGTCCGGGGACAAATCACCAAACTTAGTGTGGAAGAGATGCAAAGCCTGGCGTGCAGATTCGGGAGCCGCTCCCCTGGCGCGGCATCCTACTCCCTCCTTTCGTATGCGGTGCCACAAACTCATCGCTTGAAGGCGCAAACCCTTGGAGATGAGAACTTGCAAGTGCTGGAGGCGACGAACCTGTTTGACCTTACGCCTGCCCGCGCAAGAGTGTTTGGCGGAACCCTGGACTAAGGAGCCCGCCCTACCAGATCGCGTAACACACGGCGAAATTTGCTGATGAATGAGGGACCTACAGCCCCTTCCCAAGAAGCCCCGTGAGACCCTCAACCCCGCATGTTCGTGAACTTTGGATAAAAACGCTTCTGCTTTTGCTTGCCACTGCGTGAAAGTGCCTCCACAACACTCGGCGCGCTTATGCTGCACCATGCTGCACCTTACGCCGCTTGTTTACTCGAAACCCGGATTTTTGGAAGGGCACTAGCGGCCGACTCAGAATCAGGCACGGCAAGTGTGGAAACCGGTGACAGGTCCCAGCACCGTTCATGCAGAATACCCCAATCAAAGGATGCACACACACAACCATGCCTTTCAAGTGGCGTTCTCAACGTGCGACAAGACCTCAAGGATAGATGGACAGAGCATTGGCAAACATGAAGTCATACGCTTTGGCGTCGCAGTAGGCAAGGATTGCTTACACACTGCAGCCAGATCATGCAGTTGAACAGGGTCCTTGAATCCCCAATGTCAACCTTGAAATCCCCTCAAATCAAGGCCGGCCCCTGGAAGGAGGATGCAAGCTCGGGAGCTTCCTGCTCAACGAAGATCAAAAAAGGCAAAAGAGGTAGGGAAAGGGTGCATTTAACACTTGGCATGATCTCAGGTCGCCCCTTGGATTTCTCGATTAAGTGCTCGACGAAGGGGAGGGGATGGGAGGGATAAGTTTAACGCAGCATGACCTCAGCAAGGTTTCTCCTTTGGTCTCTAAAGCTCACAAGTGTGCAGGGAGAGGAGGTTGGGGAGGGGTGGGAAGGTTTGATGCTGCGGTGGGGTCAGGATTCAGGTTCTTGTTCGACGGGTGGTTATTTGAGGGTTTTCCGAAATCCCTTTTCTTTGATTTACACAGCTTTACATACGAAAACTAAGTATAGCATAACTCGTCAATGCGTAAGCGCGCGCACGGTTCACGCAAGCACGTTGCAAGGAAGCGCGCAAGGGCTCACCAAGTGTGATGGGCCTACACGAAAACCAAACTGTGCGTGTGCAAGCTCGTAGGGAAGCCTCCCTCTTCCTGCCCCATGTATTTGACACATCAGAGCAGGAGCTCAGGTCGTGACATGTATAATTAACCCTTCCCCTTCCACCAGCGCTTATCTGCGCAACCGAACAGTTAAGCTCACAGATAAGCTCAGACCATCAAGGCTACCGCTCAATATGAAAGGTCCGGAACAAGGGCGAGCGCACATCCCGATCCAGACCC